AGACATTGAGAAGACCTTAGAAGCCTCTAGCACGGGTTGTTAGGGGTCCATGCGCACATCTAGTACATACTTTGGCCCTATGGTACCTATATAGGAATGACTCTGAGGCCAAGGTTCAGACCATTTGGGTACATGGACCGTTGAGAAAGGATCCTTGCTGCACAGGAGCCTTCACGTGTTGGAGAGACTGTGGACTCTCTGTGAACCCTGAACCCGAGACACTAAAGCCTCAGGCCCGAAAAGCCCTAAACCCTAAACCCGAAATCCCTTAAACAAAAGCCCCCAGACCCCAAACCCTTAAAACCCCAACCCTAAAGCCTAGAAGCTCGAGCCAAACACCTAAAAGGTCCTAAGTACCCATATAGATAGTACCCATATAGATAGAATGTAGGGTTTTTGTATTAGGAATTAATAATGTGATTTGGGAAAACCCTAAACCCTAAACCCTAAACCCTAATCTCTAGACTCTAATAGTACCTAGGACCCTGTGGGACAGGGACTGGGGCCGGCCTTTTCTGCCGGGATCCCCCGCTTCGATGAACTATCTCCGGAAGAGCAGGAGGTGGGGTTTAGGGTTTAGGGTTTAGGGTTCAGGGTTCAGGGTTTAGGGTTTAGGGTTTAGGGTTTCAGGGTTTTGGGTTCAGGGTTTCGGGTCTAGGTTTCAGGGTTTGGGATTCAGGTTTCAGGGTTTAGGGTTCAAGTTGTAGGGTAGTTTAGGGAGGTGGGCGTAGGGTTTCGGGTGTCAGGTTTGCACACGTCTTGACGGTTTGGGGCTTTAGCTTCATATTTCAGGGGTTTGAGAAATATGGACTTGGGGTAGTATAAGCCCAAAGCCCTGAGCACTTGTGCTGTAGACTGTTTGAAGGGCTCCACCGCGGTTCCACCCGTCTCTTTTGCCACCCTAAACCCCTAAACCCCTAAACCCTAAACCCTAAACCCCAAGGGTTCCTGCTCAAGGGTTGCTTCAAGGGTTCCTGTAAAGGCTCCTTTCAGGCATATGTGTTCGATCGTGCTTTCGGATTTGAGCTGGTGTCTTGGCTTCGGGGCCTGCGGCGGAGACAATTCTAAGATAGGGGCCTAAATAATTTGAATAGGGTTTGGGGGTATATTATGCTATAGTTATAATAAGGAACCCCCCCAAACCGTATTCTAATTACTTATTATTAAGGCCCCTACATTGCTGCCTGGGCCAGGGACCCAACACCTCATGACTTAAGACTGGTCCTTGCCATTGTTTTCATATACAATCATATGGGTAGTTCTCTATATTAGGGTCCCTTTTTAAGGTCCCCAATATAGTACGGCACCCTTATAGAAAGGACCCCCAAAAGACCCTACTTGAGAGAACTACCCATATACGTTTGGTATATTCGACCTCCATCCATGACCTGGTACTATATATAGAACCGTTATAGATCCCTTGAGGTCCCCTAACGGAGCCCTTTTAGGGATTGGGGGTTTGCTCCCCGAAGGGTCCTGGGTACTGTTATGGGGGATACTTTCCCAATCATAATATGTATTCCTAATATAGAAACCCTTCATTCTACTATATGTATATATGTATATATATATATATGGGTACTTGGGACGATTTGGGTCAAGGCCCCCGTAGTCACCTGCAGCACGAGATCCGGTAGACCCCAAAGATTGAAGCCAGAATTGTCATGAAGGTGGGTCCCGATACTGTTCAGGGTTTAGGGGTTCGGGTTTAGTTTCGGGTTTAGGGTTTCGAGTTTAGGGTTTCATGTGAAAAGGGCTAAAGTTCAACTTGCCAGAGACCTCTGAAGATGGTTTTCCCTTTCAGATTGTACTGGCTCGTGCAACGAATCCTAACCATAGTTTTTAGGAGACGACAATCAGAAAGAAAGAGCTGTGGCACTAGCAGCGAAAGGTTACTTGGTCCATGTTCTGCTCCTCTGCCCTTTGGGTTTGTCAGGTACTTTGAGAACCAGGGTCAGAAGCTCGCAGCCTAGACTTCCGAAGCAGAACACTGAATCCTTACCCGAAAGTCTCTAACTGTACAGCACTCAACCCGTGATGCCCCAACCCCACCCATAAAGCCACAAACCCTGAAGCCTTAAATCCGAAGCCCTCAAAGCCCCAAACTCTGAAGCCCCACACCCTAAAACCCTAAAGCCCTAAACCCTAAAGCCCTAAACCCTGAAGCCCTAAGCCCTAAAGCTCAAGTGCCAAGCCTGGATCTGGTAGGAGGCACAAGAAGCCTGGCTGCGGCAGGCGACCGCTGGGGTTCCTTCGTCCACGGTTTTCGTGCTCTCCTTCTTATAACGCGGTTACGAGCTTCGGGTTTAGGGCAAAGTTTAGGGTTGAGAGTTTATGATATACAGTCCTACTAAAATGTCAAGAACACGATTTTTCGGTGTGTTCAAAGGGGGCCATCTCTGGAGGTTCGTTGGGCTTGTGCAGCCTCCCCTTTCCTAAGCTGAACCCGATGAAGCCCCCCGATGTCCTAAACAACTTGAGACATCAATAAATCAAACTT